ATCTAATTAACAGGAAGACAACAGACACTTGTTATTTGCAACTTTGGATGCATATTAGGGCTGCAACAAATGATTATTTTGATAATCGATTAATCTAACAATTATTAGAGCGATTAATCGACTAATCATCGATTATTTTGCTGATTAATCAGTAGACATTTATTGATTATTCAGCTTTTGCAATTAGTTAAATATTGAGTTATACATGTTCTAATATTCTAAATTAAGGTAATCACTTCAGCTTTTGAAAGTCATATTATGTAAATTTACAATTATGTAATTACAATTATACAATAAATTTATACAAATAAATATATTTGGCACACAAAATGAGATGGCAGAGAAACTCTCTTATTCACCATTTAATTAGCTATATGAAAAAGTAGCTGAATGACACATCATTCTGCCTAAAATATCTTTTTGTAAGTCATATGGATAAGACATAACAGAAAATCAAGTTGTAATTCTAACTGAAAGCGTCACTGACTCTGGTTTTTCACGTTTCATAATACTGTAAAGCTGCTTGATTTAAGGTTATCTATTGCATAAAGTACTATAAAAATAAACGTGACGTGACTGGACTTTACTGGAGTACTGAACTGTAGAGCTCGTGCAAACATCCACATCGCTGTAATCAGATGCATTTCTGCTTTCTCACCGCTGTCGGTTTTTGATGTGTTTATTTTGTTATTGAGAGGAAAGCGCGCAGTATACTGTATATTTACATATTCATCCAAACTCCGCTCAGCAGCTTCAGGTTCGGCTGTTTGCTCCATAGACTGTATAAAAACATGGACGTAGTGTCCGTGACGTAACCCGTAGACTTCCGACGAGCGTTTTGAAGCCTAAAGTAGGCGGAGCCAGCCGTCGCCATCTTGGCAGCTCGTCACCGCGCGTCACTCCCGGATAATCGAAAATGGGCAAAGAGGCGGGAGCTGGCTGCTGAAACCACGCCCACCTAGCTCGACGGTGTTATTCACTGTTTTGAAGCGCTCCAATCGGATCACATATTGGGACTTCAAACCGCGTATCGCGAATCATTTGATTCAGATCGGGACTTCAGTGCTGTGCGCGGGATGTTTTTTATCCCCACCGGAGATAAAAATAATTCAGCAGAGGCAGGGATGCGTAGACCAGAGGGGGTAAAGTAAAGTTCAGACATCCATGCTTCTGTATGGTTTTATGACGATGCTTTGACTTCAAAAGTATGATATGGATAAGCTAGATAAGGCTGTGTGCCTTGCAGCCAGCCTCTAGCGGCCAGTTGACGAATTACAGTTTAAGTCACTTCCTTGTTGGCTTCAAGAGAGAGAGCGGGAGGTTGCCGCTCGGTTTGCTCTGAAGTGCTGCGTCTTCTTCTTTTGAATTGCATCAGGAGAGCTTAATTACAGTCTTGCGCTACAGCGCCACACTGGTCAACCCGCGTTATTGCAGGCTCTTACATTAGGTCATATGAGATCAAACGACTACTCAACAACAAAAATATTTGTCGACAATTTTTTATTGTCGACGTTGTCGATAATGTCGACTAATCGTTTCAGCCCTAATGCATATTGTTTAATATGCCCAAAAAAAGCACACACACACATATATATATATATATATATATAATTCACTGTTTTGAAGCGCTCCAATCGGATCACATATTGGGACTTCAAACCGCGTATCGCGAATCATTTGATTCAGATCGGGACTTCAGTGCTGTGCGCGGGATGTTTTTTATCCCCACCGGAGATAAAAATAATTCAGCAGAGGCAGGGATGCGTAGACCAGTGTTTTTTATCCCTGGTCCCCCCCCCCCGGCAAATCGAACCCTGTATAAATATATACTTCACTAGTCTTGACATACTACAGGTGAAACAAAAAATGTGCGTTCGCTACTGTAAAATAATTCCACAGACAGCCCTCACACTCCTAACCTTATACCTACAAATTTACCACTGAATGGGAACAACGTTTCCTTCTGGCCCGGGGTTACTGATGATCCGGTAATTTGACTAAGCACAGAGCCATTACCTCAATCAGAGCTGTTAATGTTTCACTTCATGAAGCACAGCATGCATCTTCCTCAGTGATTCAGTCCAAGGCCTCACAAAATCGCTTTTCTACAGCAAAAGGACACAATGTCTAAAGAGGCTTTAGGAAGCATTTCATTCATCTTAAGTGTCCTGATTGTATTGACTCAAGTGACTCAATTAATTATAATGAAATGAATGCAATAAAACAGTTAGAACAATTAATCTGGCCCCTGACCTGTGTGGTCATTCAATAAAAAATTGATTTTCCATCAGAACAATTCAAGCTTGAAGTACCACCTTCATATTTTGCTTGTTTCACCTTAGCCGTGTCTTGCATATTTTTCTTAGATTTAGAATAATATTAATGGTAAAAGTATACAACTGAGATTTTCTGAGAAAAAAAATCTAATAACATTACAGATTATAAACATGCCATTGTTTTATAAACATTATATAAAAAAGATGTAAACTACTTACTTCTAATCAATTAAGATGGACACAGAATTTAAAATCCCACTCTCTGAACATATGGTCCAGCGTCTTCTAGTAAAACCTCAGATACACATTCCACCATGCATCTACAGAGAGCTGAGGAACAGAGAAAATGATTAATTAATGTGAAGCAGGTTAAAGAAGTCAGACAGAGCACAGGGGACTGACCCAATTAAGAGTGTTTCCTGTAATGTACATCCATATGTTGAGGAACGTCACATTAGGTGCCCATTTCATTTAGAAGCTACAGTAAATCTATTAAAGGCATTGAAAAGTAAATAGCTATTTCTACACCATTTAAGTCTTTACTGCAACACAGTAAGCCTTCGGGTTCTAGGATATGACTTTATCAATCAATGTTTGTTTTATCAGAAACATATACGGTATAGTTTATCAATATTTCATCTAAATATAGGAAAATTTGTTCTTTGTTCTTCTCAATGACTTTGCATCCTTGACATGAAAAATAAGAAAAACTGCAGTATCTAGGTGCTGAAACCCGTCAGATGGCACTGTGGTGCAAAATGTATTATATATTCATTAATTAATTTAATAAATATCCTTTACAAATGAGAACAGCAGTGTTTTCTATTTCAAATTCAAAATCCTATTTACAATACTGTTAGTTAAACAACTATTAATTAAACATGTTGTTATTTGCTCAACTTGTGGCCGGCCCATTGGTCTCTGCATAAAAATTGATTAAATGATTGATATGTGTCATTATATTCATCACCATGCAGTGTGGATGTTTTAAACAATTTTTTTCTTGAAAAGTGACTAGGGTCACTATCAAACTTAGTTACAAACCAAGACATGTCTAGATGAGAGTGTCATTAGGTTAAATTGTAGGCTATCTGTGCAGTGTAGAGGGAATTTGGATCAAATAAAGTCCAAATAAACATAACTACACATTATTTCAAACCACTTTAAAAGCAAGCAAAATGAGATCTTGTGACCAGTTGTTATGCTTACCCTCTTAAACCCTGTCCTTAACACCAATGACGCATTAAGTGCTTTAGATACGATTCTGTGCTTCTGAAAAATAGATAAGGCTGTTAACACTGGTTTCTGTGTTATCATATAAGAAAGTGTAGCAGTATACAAGACTGGATCCACTGCATAATGAAAACTTCTACATCGACAGCCAATTATAAGAGTAGCGAAAGGAGTTTTAAAATAATGGTAACATTACATTTAGTCATTTAGCAGACGCTTTTATCCAAAGCAACTTACAAATGAGGACAATAGAAGCAATCAAAATCAACAAAAGAGCAATAATTTGCAAGTGTTATGACAAGGCTTGGTTAGCCTAATGCAGTACTTGAAGAATAGAGAATGGTGTTAGAGGCCTTTTTTTTCAAGAAAACAAGCAGTGAACGAATAGAGTGCAATTGTTAGAGGGTCAAGTGTTTTTTTTATTATTAAAAAAAGAAAACAAATAGATAAAATAGAATTTGAATAGAGAGTGCTAGAGTTAGAGGGTCAAATAAAGAGATATGTTTTTAGGCGTTTCTTGAAGATGGCTAAGGACTCAGCTGCTTGGATTGAGTTGGATTAATAGACAATACATTAATAGACAACATTTTGTTATTCAATATACTAACTGTCCATCTCAAACTCCTAAAGAAAAAAAAGTAGTTTATGTTGAAAAACTGATTGTATAGCATGTCCATAATACAAATCAGAAAGTAATTCTGTCTCCACAACAAAGAGACTACATCAAAACTCTTTCATTTTGCCATATAAATACATACTCTAGCTTAAAATATCAAAAACAAAAAGTGCAGAGCTCTGCACTGTGAAGGTTGCCAGACAGGAATAGTATAAATAGCCTACTGCAATAAAAAAAGACAGGAAAACCACTAAAACATTATAATCGAGAATTTTAAAAGCACTTTAGGCATGTACATAGATCAGGCAAAATGCACTAATTTTAGTAAAGAATTGAAATAAAATACAGGTAGCTTATGCTTAAAACGTCTCAACGTGCCCTCAACAGACCATGTTGTACTGTAAGCTTGGCTTGCAAAATTGTTTCAAACCATTCCCATTGCTTTTACTTACTCATTTAGTCTCTGTGTGTTTTATTACAACCGTAAAATGTTCGCCAGAGAACGACAAACTGTCCAAAGCCAGTCTATATGTGTATTATGACAGACGGCAGAGAACACGTCGAGTTTGGAAGACAGTTGATTTATTCACCGCTAACTTTTCAATGCTAGCCAGTTGTTCTCTTTAGTCTAAAGCTAAAACAGAATAATACTGTAAATGGTAAGTATTTAATTACCGTAGACGTTGTTTCCAGGGTTTTATTAATCGGACCAAACAGAGAGAAGGTGACTAACTGTGTACACTCTCTTCCTTCAAAAAGAAAATTGTCCTAACACTTTTGCTCTCTTTGAACAAAACAACTGCAATAATGCTTGACTTTAAATGTAGAATTGCAGCTAGCATTTCATAAGAAAGAGAAATCATTATCCATTTTACCTTTTCTCGCAGACAGGCTGTTGCTTGCTACCTTGATGTTGTGCGCCGCTCGCGTGCTACAGTTGTGACAATCGCAAAACCAACACAAGCCGCAAGCACTTACCGTAAGGAATAGAAGAGAATTCGCGCGCTGCGGCGGGAACCTACCGTAAGGAATGTAGCTGACTAAACATTCTCGTCGGCCTCACTGTAAAATTACAGGTTTGTGTCTAAGACAGCATGCATGTCTCGAAAGGGTTTTCGTACTCATATGAAGCTGAAGGTGCCATATGGACTGTTTTTGCCAATAAAGCAGTCAATATGTGTCAGAGTATGCCTTTGAGATTGATGACACCATGTTCGTGAAAGTAAATATATATATATATATATGTTGTTTCTGTGTGATATTCATAGACAGACACGTTTAGGCACTGCATTGCACACTTTTTTCAAGTGGGATCATAATCAAAAAGTAGGGCAGAGATATTAAGGCTCACAGCAATTATATTTGCTGTAGTTTGAATAGAGAAAACATACAGTATTTAGTGCAATATTTCTTCTATGAAAAATAACCAATGTTAAAATGTTGTATAGTAGCCTATGTCCTTGCTGGGGAAGAAAAATAAAGAAAGAAAGAAATAATAATAAACGGATATAGTTCACTCAAAAATTAAAATTATTTTATCATATTCCAAACAGAACACTGAGAATGACATGAGTAAATGGGGTGAGTAAATGATGACAGAATTTTCAATTTTGTGTGTATTATCCTTGCTGGTTTTTAGAACATGAGTTTCTGGTCCAAGGTGCTCTGCCAGTATATATGATTCATGTTAGTCCATGTTCTGTTATACCCAAGAGCTAATACAAAAATATGATGATATTGGAGTTTTAACTTGTGTAATTGGACACTGGATTCAAAATGTCTGAGTTAATTAGATATAGCCCATTTGACCTGACAGAATGTTCTTCATTATTAAAGACAAGAAGGCAGCCAATTTAGTGTGAACTGGTGAACGTGCTGTCTTCAGCATAAATCAGAAGCCGCTGTTGGGTATCTGTAATTTGTTGTGAGCATCTATTTTATTGTGAAGGTATAAACTGAATCACTCAATCAATTCATGTAATACGACGAAAGGTGCTTTAATCTCTCTCATGAAATCAAATCTAAGATTTTTGCCTGAGTGCCTCAGCAGAAGCCATTCATCAATGCAGACTGTAGTGAGCTAAATTAATTTGCAGATTGATCAGCACTTGGAAATTTCTCATTGCCGAATCTATTTTCTGCCCCGTGAAGCATTGAATCTCAAGACAGACATTTATTTATATTTACAAATGCATTTATTAAGTAATAAAAAAGGAAACAAAATCCCTCAGGTTAAAGACATTTTCATTTTTGATTTAATTAATACAAAGTTAATATAGATGCAGACTAGGTTGGGTATATGCTTTAACTGGTATGGTTGTTTGTGCTTACACTTTTTATATATAGTACAATTTCAGTGAAGATGTGGTCCAGAACATATAGAATGCACAATTTAAAGGAACAGTTCGAGCACCCAGAAATGAAGATGTGCTGAAAATTTATTCACCATCAGGCTATCCGAAATGTAGATGAGTTTAATTCCTTATCAGAAACAGGTTTGGAGAAATTGAGCATTACTTGCTCACCAGTGGATCCTCTGCAGTGAATGGGTGCCAACAGAATGAGAGTTTAAACAGTTGATAAAAACACAATAATCCACAAGCAATCCACACAACTCCAGTCCATCCCTCATTCCATCAAATCCATCATTAAGGCATTTTTAACTACAAGTCCATAATTCATAATAACGCTTCCTTCAGGGAAAAAAAGTCCACCCTCGGTTGTCCTCTCACAACAAACATACATTTGTGAATTACTGGATTACTGTGATGCTTTTATCTGCTGTTTGGACTCTCATTCTGACGGCACCCATGAAGAAACAAACTCATCTACATCTTGGATTGGAAGGGTGTGTACATTTTTTGGATTAACTATTTCTTTAATTCCAAAAAGCTGTCATTCCACAAAAGAGAAAAAAAGGATGGAGAAATTTCTAGGCCCAGACAGGCTGGATGACCTGATATAGCTGATGACAGGATATATTGGTTACATTATAAGCCAAAAACAGGACAAAAGCCTAAACATAGAGTCTTTTAAATTCATTCATATATGCATTAATTCTGTATGCAGATAGGACAACGAAGTAAAAACTGAAATAACCTGCTTTGATTTCACAGAAAGATCAATAAAAAGATACGCCAAAAATCTCTCCCATGGTGTTGAACTAGAGATGATCATATTCTCACATATGGATTACTTGCATCCTCAGTCAATTCCTGTCATATATGTAATATATTTGTTTGTCCAGCAGCCCAGTGCAAGTCCTTATCATATTGCTGAATGCTTGTTCCTCCATCTATTCCTCAAATCGTGTGGAAATCTTATCTCCAAAGTAAACCTCACTAGGCCCTTGCTCTCAGCAGTAAAACACGGTATTTCTTGTACACAAGACCACAACAGCTATTTAATATTGTGGCTAGGTATGTCTTGTCATGCAGTCCACAGCTTGAATCACATCTTCTCCAATACTGCTCCTCTGAAGGGGCTCTGAAAGGCCCTTCACATGAACTCAAACAGAAATGCTTTGGACATGCTCCTGATTACCTCTGACCCTCATCAAATGCGGGCTGTAACCACTATGCAATCAGTCTTTGTGCATTAGAACGTGCCTGGCCTACTTGCTCTCAAGAAAACAGGAATTCTTTTAATGATAACTCCCAAATGATGAGTGATATGATATGCCTGAACCGGGTTAATGGTTAATCTATTATAGAAAATAGAAAATACTATGAGAAGTAATATGACTGTTTGCATTGCATATGACCTCAGTTAAATTCTAGCCATATAATAGAATGGATTCCCAAAGAGGAAAATACTGAGCCACTCCCCTGTTATTCTATGCTTCCCATGACACTTCTAATGGATCATGATGATGACTTAAGATGTAAAAGTGAACAGCAGAAAATAAACATCCTGCCACAGAAGAGGAAAGAAAACCACAGTTTATAACAGCAGTTAGTTAAAGTGCAAAGCATGAATAGATAAGAAAGAGAGCAAAGAAGAAATGGCCAGAAGGAACCAACAAATACTTTTAAATGGACTCATGAATCATACAGATGTGAATAATGACACTTTAGAGAGGATATTTATCAGGCTCTGAGCTTTGGTTTGGTTCCTCTATTTCATATCAATTTTTTTCCCATAAAAAAAAGAAATAAAAATAATAATTAAGTTATTAATTTAGTTTTTCAGTGCTGGAAAATTTACAAAAAACATGATAAGAATATGTTATGATATCTATCATTCATTTTTTAGATTCTTGTAGATTAAAAAATATGTACCTTAAACTGATCTTTTCAACTCACTAGTCTAATGTAAAACATACACCTGAAGAAAAAAAATATTGAATTAAAATATATTTGTACAGCATTTGAAAACTCCTGCTCTTGAGACGTTTGAGGGAAACTTCTGTGAAAAATTCTAACTGCAATATGACACTGTGAAACAGGATTATTGCAATCCAAGCAAAAGAGAGTGACTTTAAATCCAGCAGTTTTATAAAGGCTACAGTATAACCTATCTTATTACATTAACATTTTCACATTTTTAGAATTTATAGATCAAGCAATATTAAAAGTATTGATCAAAGGTGCATATATATTGTGACTTTCCTGTACTTGTGGACAATTTCATGGGTTCAGTTTAATGTATTTAAGTGCAGTGGTCATAAGAAACCAAAGGTGTCACCATGGCAACAGAAACTCTTGCTGTGCAGTTGTGAGGAGATGGGATGGCAGAGGATCTGGAACTACCATCATTTGAAGCCACAACTTAATGACAACAAACCCATAAATGCAGAATTTAATGTGATTTTTTCATTTACTGTCATTATAAACCTCATCAAAACACTACATTTCCTGCTAGTCATATTGTCCATCTCTAATGAAGTTCTCAGAACAGCCCATAAATAGATCACTACCTCATTTTGCGCTGTTGATTTTGGCATCAAATATAATAGTATTTTACAATGTATGACCAACACATATTAAACACATGATCAAGCCAAAGAAGTCATCTCTTAGCTTTGCTCACTGTAACTAATGTACCTCACAAAAGACATTATCAATTTGAATGAAATATCTTATTTAACCTAATGTGTGGTCATAATGCATGGTGCTCTTTTCCATAGCAACATTTAAACCATCACAGCAACACTCAAGCAGATAGACATTAAATGGCAAATGTAAAAAATAAATAATAATAATGATAAGAGATTCCCTTCAAATCTAAGGATGTAAAAACGTAAGAGTTTTGTCTTATGGGTTGTTGTGATAAATGTACACAAGAAAGGACAAAATCTTGCTCAGAAAGAGTGTGAGAGAAAACGGTCCACTTCATGTTACAGTCCAGAGGGAACGTGTCCCCCCAGCTGAGATATAAAATTACCTCCTTCCAGTGTGTTGAGACTTTGAGCTTGCAACAAAGAAGGGAATCTAATTTCCAACTCTTGAAAAAACAAATCGGCCTATTACCCGTTGTTGCACAAACGCGAATGTAGTACCACAGAGATGCATATAAACATATTAACACCTTGACAATGAGTATCGTTTGTCTCAGATGTATCTGCAAGACACAAGACATCAGAAGGATTTACCTCACTCATTTTCTCTCTAAAAAAAACATTTTAGAACTACTTCCCAAAAGCATCTGACACAATCTTGCCATTTTGGCTTTGATGTGAACATTTCTTGACAAGTAATTGGTCAGTCCTAACAATAATGACGCATCTTGAACAAGATTTCAAAGCGAAATGACTGTATGATTATTGTATGATTTTGAATAGGATTGTAATCTAAATGTTCACTAACAAAATAGCACCACCAAGTGGACAGTATTGATAATTATTCTTATTTATGAAGACCTGCCTTGGGTGTGAATTTTTCATGTAATCTCAGCCATAACTGTATGATGTACTTGTATTGAACTGACAGTATAGCCATAAATATGATTTTAAAAAAAGGAAACATAAGTTTACAATAAAAAGTCTCCA